GAGACGGTGCCACAATATACCAACCCCAGAGACGGTGTCACAAATATACCAACCCCAAAGGCGGTGCCACAAATACACCAACCCCAGAGGCGGTGCCACAAAGACAGCGCCGCACATGGATAAAGCTATTAACATGGGGCATTCCGCAGGATTGGGGGCCTTCGCGGTCAAAGTACGAAAAACAGGCGTGCATGAAATGCCATGATTATTGTACTTATGCGATGCATGTTGTAGCCAGACCGCTTTACGGAGTGTATGGGCAGTGGTTTTCCTTTTTTGCACGCTGGACAGGTCAGGATGTATGGTGAGCTAGACCGGGCTGGAAGCCTCCCAAACATTACGCGCTTGAATAAGCCGGTAGCTGCTTTGTAATGTGTTTTTGTGCAGGCCTAAATTTCAGCAACTGTGACGATGAGAGTTTTAGTTCAGCGCAATAGTAGCTCTCATATGGTTTTATTAAATCCAACACGTCTGCACGACTTGGCTGCGTTGCTCGAGCTTCGCGTTGGTCGGGACAAACGCCTCCTCCCAGTCCCACCCTGGGTCTGCTCCCAACCGCTGAAGCGATACTTTCTTAGTCCGAAGAGGACCTCACTCCGTGCTGGATCATGGCCATGCCGTCATAATGACGACCTCCTTCCGTATCATAGACCACGAGCCGTATCATAGACCTCCAGCCGTTCCACAGACTTCCACCTGTTCTACAGACCTCTTGCCGCACCACAAACCCCCAGCCGTATTACAGACCTCCAGTCTTACTACAGCTTGTCAGCCGTACCATAGAGCTCCAGCTGTGCGCAGACCTCCAGCCGTGTTACAGACCTCTTGTCACACCAAAAACCTCCAGCCATACTACAGGCCTTCAGTTGTACCACAGATCTCCAGCCCTGCCACTGACCTCCAGCCGTACCACAGCCCTTCAGTTGTACCACAGATCTCCAACCCTACCACAGACCTCCAGCCCTACCACAGCCCTTCAGATGCACTACAGACCTTCAGCCGTACCACAGAACTACCGTACCATAGAACTCCAGCCGAACTCCAGCCTTGGTGCCAAATATGTTTTTGGACAGCGAATTTTGGTGACGGCCGAGACGAAATAGTACAGCATCAAAACATAACATGAGGTTTGCATGCATAGATATTATGCCTCTATGGCAAACATTTCGTCACACAGCACCGCAAACGTTTCGGTAAGCACTCTTCATCCTACTCTACGGCACCATGGTATCTTTTCCGGGTAAAATATTCCATGATTTTTTGTTGGTCGGCCGACCCAGGTGACAGTTCGGCGACAAATCAGTGTATTCTCCATGGCCCGGCCAGTCGGCTGATTCGCTGTTTTTAACAGCCGACCCTCTCAGTGTCCCGAAATAGACAGTATAAAATGCTGAAAAACCTAGATATGGAGCTTCATCTGGCCGCAAAGAACATGTTTCAATCGTTGCGATGCGACTAACGTGAAGTGGGTGTTGACTTTCAATGCTCCGCAATTTTGCAAGTGGCATTCGCAAAGCTGTTAAGGGCAAGCCGTTTTGTTAAGAGCCTTTCAAAGTTTCATTGAAGTGCATATTGACGAAACAACCCGCCGGAGCATAAGAATAAATATATATTAGGCCCATTGTGTTGCTGCCCATTGCCAAATCACACAATTGAACTGCATTCATTTAGAACCACCAACCCATACTTCTAATCACGGGCGAAATTATGATCTGAAATCATTGGTCAGGTGTATGCTGTGCCATGGATATAAAAGCATGGGACACATATGATATGGGGACTAGAGCATGCAAAATGGACGGACACGAATGGCTGCGGCAGGGACGGTGATGGCAAACATGGCTGAGGTTCCTGCCGGGTTGGTCTAGTGCCCAAGCCCAATCGCACTGGGTATGCAGTTCAGGATGTGATGCGCAAGTCTAGCATTAATCAATAACACACCGAAGTTGTTCGGAAGATCGCGTTACCTGGTAATCAGGGACACGAAAAGAGGTTACAGCCGACGACCCGACAACCTTTTGCTGGATCGTACGCAATTGCAAACATGTAAGATTTTGCAGCACCCTATCTAATGGTACTACCGCACTCAGAGATGTTAGTCTGCTTACATAGTGCATGATGGCGCCGAAGGCTGTCATTGGTGAGGTGGCTCGAGTCTGCTATCAACCCACGCACGTGAGGGCTACTGCGAACGATTTGCTCTCCTGATGGCACCATCTATGCGAGAGGCAATGGCTAAGTTTGAATCTAAGACCGCGATCGGGTTTCTCATCTCAGGTGAGCCTCTTAGGATGACACTTTTGATAGAACAAGATATACGTCTTTTTTACTTGGACTGAAAGTTGACATAATGTAATTTCACTGCATACTTAATTGTTATTAATTATTATCGTAAAATTGAATTAAAATAGATACAAGTAAATAAATCAATTAAATTAAAAAATTACAGTAACATAAATTTTTAAAATTATCATTGTAAAAGTATAAAAAATGCTAATATGATAAATAATTTCAAACATATGTTCAAATTGGAGGTATTCTTTCAGATCAACTTCAAGAAGGGAAGTGTTGTCAGGGGAACGAATCTGCCCACAAAGTTTCGGAGTCGGTGTGCCTGACGCGAGCCGACCGGCGACAACGCGCATATCATCGCATTTATGAGATCGAGGGTCACACGTGAGCAGCGCGCAGGAGGCGGCTCAGACATGAGCCCGACGAGGTGTGTCCAGTTCATCTCCCGTGTTTTTACCAGCTGCCCACGCCCACCACAGCCCGCCACAGTCACCGCCGATCACATCGCGACGCGGCCCGGCCCGCCCCTGCCGCCGATGAGGGGCCGCGGTCCGGCCCGCCCCGACCGCCGATGAGGTCGCGACCCGGCCCGCCCCGGCCGCCGATGAGGTCGCGATCCGGCCCGCCCCGGCCGCCGATGAGGGGCCGCGACCCGGCCCGCCTCGGCCGCCGATGAGGCCGCGACCCGGCCCGCCCCGGCCGTCGATGAGGGGCCGCGACCCGGCCCGCCCCGGCCGCCGATGAGGGGCCGCGACCCGGCCCGCCTCGGCCGCCGATGAGGCCGCGACCCGGCCCGCCCCGGCCGCCGATGAGGGGCCGCGACCCGGCCCGCCCCGGCCGCCGATAAGGGGCCGCGACCAGGCCCGCCCCGGCCGCCGATGAGGGGCCGCGACCTGGCCCGCCCCGGTCGCCGATGAGGCCGCGACCCGGCCCGCCTCGGCCGCCGATGAGACCGCGGCATCGGCACATTCCAGCGGCGGCGCGGCTGGACGGCCACGTGGTGGCATACCCGGCGCGCGCGCGTCGGCTCGGTGGCGCGCCGCGACGCGGCCCGCCCGCGCGCGGACGGCTCGGAGGCGCGCCTGTCAAATGCAGCCGGCGGGCGGTGACGGATGGCCAGGCGACGGCGACGGTACGCCGCCGGCGGCGACAGTCGAGGCGGAGTGGGCCCACCGCCATCGGCGACCGTCGAAGCGGAGTGGGCCCACCGCCATCGGCGGCAGTCGAGGTGGAGTGGGCCCACCGCCATCGGCGGCAGTCGGCGCGGAGTGGGCCCACCGGCATCGGCGGCAGTCGAGGCGGAGTGGGCCCACCGCCATCGGCGGCAGTCGAGGCGGAAGAGGCCCGACGCCGTAGCGTGTAGTTGTGCAGCAGTCGGCTGGCACAGCGCTGCCCGTTAGTTGAGCTAGGGCTGTGAGGAGTGACTGTGAGCTGTGGCTGCGTATGTATGGCTATGAGCTGCAGTGTGGTCCATCAGCTCACCATGCTGCGATCGCGAAACAGGGATGAAGAGTGAAGGCACATCAGAGGGCTGACAAGACTGAGGCCGGCTGTACGTGCACCGAGCAAGCTGTGATACTGCATTGAGTCGTGTGTACTGCTGAATTAAAGACAATATCGCTAAACTGACGCACTTCCCAAACTCTCTGCTACGCAATGAGTGCCCAAACACTTACTAAACATTTCATTAAGTTTCGGAAGTAACCGCGGCACTTGAGGGATGCATTACCATCAATCAACCCATTTATTATTACAATCAATTCATTAATCGCTTGGCACACGGAGATGGGCGAGTATTATTCCTAAAAATAAGTGGTAGCTGTCAAAATTGCAAGCGTGCTTCGGGCTACCTTGAGGCCGAACAATGGCTTTGTTAGCATCAGCATCGCGTTCTGGCGATTACAGGATGGATGACCACGACCACTCTCCAATGTTAAAGGGTGCCTATTGGGTGTTGATTGGCCTTATCGCAGTCACTAGCGTTCGGCGAAGTCACGCGGGCAAGCCAGTGCTATATGTTCGAAATCACGCATGCATGTTGATGGTGCATTTAAAGGTATATTTTCTCCGCATGTATTCGTTTGAAACGTGTTTGACCTTAGTTATCCGGTATATTACATGAACAATATCTGCAACGCAATGCTGTCTCCAGTCGGGATTCCAATTGTTTGAAAAATGGCTACGGCGCCGACGTGCTCCACCATGTATGGCCAGCACGAGGGCCAGCACAGCCTTTGACCAGCATAGCCCTTGGCCAGCACAGCTCTTTGCCAGCACAGCGCTGTGGCCAGTACGGCACATCTCCCTATGCATGCTCCGCTGCTGGGGTTAGGGAAAACCAAAATATAGCGGGGAGGTCAATTCAGCTCAATATTGTCGTACAGTGGGCTAGGCATGGACTCGTCACTCGTTCGCTCAAAGTGGGAACACGCTCAGGTGATCATTTTTGTGTATTTTCGAGTCAACAAGCGTTACGGATAGCGACAAACCCGAGGCTCCAAGCAGGGTAGATGTAACTACCTCCTCCTCCAGCAACAGATCGGACTTGAGTACTCTACACACCTCCAAGACACACCCTTGAAGGTGTAGCACGAAAAATGGCCTATGCGGCATCTCACTGGCACGCGCTCCCCCATTATGCATTCGCCGACATTACTGCACCCGTGCCGACGCAGCCTGACCTCCCCTGCCCCGCCGTGGTCCGACAGAGGACGAGCTCGCCAAGGACTGTGACCAGACGGCCAAGGGCGGTGCCGTCGGCGGCGAGGCGGCGCGCAAGCGGAAGCCGCGGCGGAACCGCACCACCTTCACCTCGGCCCAGCTGGCCGCGCTCGAGCGCGTGTTCGAGCGCACCCACTACCCGGACGCGTTCGTGCGCGAGGACCTGGCGCGCCGTGTCAACCTGAGCGAGGCGCGCGTGCAGGTGAGCTGTCGCCGGGGAGGGAAGGGTGAGCAGCGAGATGACGTGACGATGGCGTGGTGAGAAGGTGTGTGACGTGGTGAGCAGTTACATCGCGAGGAGGCGGTGAGCTGGGTGAGCGGCTGGTAAGGTGGAGAGGCAGTGAGCGTATTGGAGGGCTCCGTCGGCGCTGGCTAGTATCATTCAAGGGAAGCGCAGTGTGTGACATGGCGGGCAGTGCCGAAGCATGTAAATTCACGAACTGTAAAAAGTTCACAGCGACAGCAGAACTGTTTGCACTCATTTAAACGATTACCTTATGATGCATCTGTGTGGAAACGTTGCGGGTCTTTCGGTAATGATGAAAGAAAACCAGCATGTTGTGAAGGATGTTCGCATCGCTTTGCAAGATCCTCAGCTGGCGTCATGATAAACTTCGATCGCGCGCCGATAGCAAACAAGAGAGGTAGAATGACTAATTTAGCTCATGATGCTTGTTGCCAATCGTCCCCGCTTTCAGTCATAAAGGTGAGCACAAAAAAGTAGATTTCAGCAAATTAAGCGATGTCTTGGGCTTCCACCGTTATGTCATACATATCTGTGGACATAATTCGGTTTTGCGCGAAAGGCTGGAACTCTCCCGGCACTCTGCGCTCACCAGCTCGGCTTGTGAAGGAACCAGCAGCGATGTCTCGCAGCTGTCGAATGCGAGCCTCCTCTCAAGTTCGAATTTCTGAGCACAGCGTGCTTTTTTGCTGATCATACAAATGCGACAGGCTGGGAGTGACAGGAAACTGAACGAATGCCGCATTCAAACGCTGGCCGGTAATGAAGCATTTGACGATCATTGCTCCAGTACTGTTTCGAGTTCGTAAAATGGTGTCTCAGACCATTAGCATAATAATGGTGAGGTCGAAACCTGATCCTTACCGGCGCTGACTTTGACTGGAGGCCATGCTTGCTGGATTCTCAGCGTGCGGATGGTTTGGTCATAACTACCGCTATCTTCCATGCCTTCTGTAATGGAGGAACCGAGATTCCGCTGGTAATAAGCACCGCCCCATGTATGCATCCAGGACCTTTGAAGAGTTGTGCTTTGTCTACAACACATGTGCTTTCCGAGAGAATAAGGTACAGCGTAGTCCTACCGTCAAAGTAAATTACATCTTATAACCATGCTTTGTCACAGCTTGACCAGCGATGTTGGGGAGGGGCAGAGGGTAACCTGCCACCATGCTCTCCGCTCTCCACATCTAATACCAGCAGGGCCTGTTGGGGTGCACTGCAAGCGCGCCGTGTAACAGAATGCTAAACCTTAGACAGAATAGTCGAGAGGAGATATCTTGTAACCTTTCTCAAGAATATTTTTCCGGGAAAACAGCGCGTAGCGTACGTGACCATTTCATGAACACCCTGGAGAAGGAGAGCGAATGCACCACTGGGCAAACCCATAGTAGACCGACATAAGCAGGGGTGCAAAGCGCAACAAATACTAACTCTGAAATATGTACGCTAGCAGTAGCTAACGATTGGGCCGACCTAAAAATTGCTGTACATTAGTATTTCTAGGCCTATTCCCAGACCTGTTCGTATAGCTAGAGGGCAGACCCAGGGATCGTTGCACGCATTTTTTTTAATCTTCGTCCGAGGCTGAACACACAAAAGGTTTCATGGAACCTGGTTTGAGCAGCCTTGTTTCGGTAAGGCACATTCAAAACTAGCTCACTGCTCGTTGTAACGGACACCGACGCCCGCTGGCAAATTTCTCTCTATCCTGATCCATCTGTCTACCAGCACGGCTCATCGAAACCTTTCGGCGTAGCCGTCTGGACAGCCCTCAGCAGTGCCGCGTATGGGGTCTTACGACGTCAGACTCCGAATATCAGCAATGCTCAGGAGGCTCATGTGGCGTCCATGGTACCGGATGTTTGTGGTCAGCAATATCCTAACCTTATACTGTTGTCAATCGTAACCTCCCGGCTTAGTTGTTCGTGTTTCTGCTAGCTCTTAATGCAGGACCATTCATCCGTCATTAGGATGTGCGAGCTTAGATCATTTGTTATTTAGATCTGGTTTAGTGACGGCGTCTGCACTGATTATTGATTTTATGGGGTTTTACGCCTTGATATTTTCAACTCTGCTCACTTCTGGCCCTGAACACAAGCTCGAAGCGTCGTGTATTACAAATGTAGCCAAGACAACGCCTTTTAACAAATACCGCCTCTTGTATTGCACGCCGATAGCTGTCAGCAAGGCATTCTGAACTCGTAGTGACGAAAACCAGATGCTTAATACCTCTCTTGCTTCTCTCAATAACAAACAACGTATAAGCACTAACACAGCAAAGCACTCACCAAATTGGCCGAATCCGCAGAATGCGAATACGTCACGCGTCGGGTTAGATTGAATCAGGAACTTGCACTTAGACCCAATTATGAGTTGACCAGTTTGACTTGTTTCAGCCCACATGGATGGGACGGTTTGAAGATAGACAAAACGTAAACACTTGCTAACTGACCTTAAGTACCAGCTGGAACGGCAATTGGCAAAGAATCTCACACCTATAAAGACATTATTTCCAAAAGCTAACAATACAAAACAGATCACGCAACTCATTATCATATCTGCGGTCAAATTCTCAAAGGAACAGGTGGTATCGACCGATTGGTGTCAGCTGATAAATAATTGAAAAGATGCCTTGGAAACATCGCTTCAATTAAAAGCAAAATGAAAAAGGCCAAACAATAAATTTGGTTTGCTACGAGATAAATCAAACCTATCATAGCATTTTCAGCGATTTAATTCAATCTCATGAAGTAGCATTGCAAACATCATAAAGTCAAGTCATTTCCTATAACAAAGAAGCAAAGTGAAGTAAATGTTTACGCTCCCCGTCACAAAAGAGAGTACGCCTCAAATCAGTATTAAACTTCTTTGCATATTCAAATTGCAGTCCAATTTTCATCACCCATTTACAAGTGAACTTCAGCAATACAGCTACTGAGATGTTATTCCAATGTAATTATTAAGAAGGCCACATACCCTTTGTCAAGAAATCCAGGTGAAGTAACGTGAAAGTAAGCGTCCCATCACAAACTGCCTGTTCATGCCTCTCGTATGAAGGTTGAGCAAGCCTCCAAGTAACTCAGAGAAAGGGCTTGGTCAAGTTTGGGCCATAAAAGTGGTAGACGGCAAGACGACCTTTCTGATCAGTTGGATGCCGATATTGCCTGATGAGTCACGCAACCCGGTCCGGATCATCTGATGGCCCGTCAATTGTACACAGTTTACCACCGAGTTTGCATGGCAGTAATGGTGAGCAACGTTAGCGAGTACGGTGATGCACCGTGACATTCACATGCTTCTTACGGCTCCTACAGCTATCATCCTATTTTAATTAAGTGTAAACATACGAACAGAAGTCGCAGTGAATGCTTCGCCGAAATGTTGTTCGTTTCAGCGATCGCGATCACCATTCTAAGCCAACTATAGCGCACGTGCTGTAGCCAGTCTGTCGCCTGCGGCACCTTAAAATACAAATTCTTGCGTCGAGAAAGCATCACGTGCGACAAACGCGCGCACTTCGTCTCGGCGTGCACAGCTGTCTAATTCGCAAAAACTGTGATACGGATGAGTTACGACTAAAAACTGTGGGCGATGATGCGCGCGGCTCATCCTATTTTTAATAACGTAGCGGGGGCGTTTCCATTTCAACAGTTTTGACACTGCCTGAACAGATTTCAAATCTTACTTCTGCTTCTTCTGAAAAGGTATTTCGTAACCTTAGATCGTGTTAAAATATACTTTTTTACGGCACCTTTGAAAGCCTTCGGCAGTCTGAACTTATCTAGATCCGTAATCACCTATGTGGCCGCACAAATTCGCCTCGGAAATTTTCAGCTTGACATGCATATCTTTCTGTGTTATTTTAGTGACACTTCGTTTATAAGAATAAGAAGCATGGCCCGGCTGCGTGCTGAAAACCTTATCAGAAGGCACGTCTGAGCCAGCCTAAGCCAAGGTTTTCGGTTTCAGGTCACGGCTGTTTTGCCTTATTTTGCTTCATTTTACGAACATCTCAGCCAGAGGTCGACATTCTAAGCCACCTTATTTGCATCACAACCCACATTTGATCACAGATATAGACGTAAACTAAAAACTGAATTGGCTTGAGACCACCTGGAAAAGCATCCATGGGTCATAGCCATTCACCTGCCTAAATCGGATGTGCTGGCGGTCAGGTCGTGCCAGGTCCTTCCGGCCAGGTCCTGCCAGGTACTGTCGGTCAGGTCTCGCCAGGTCCCGTCCCGTCGGCAGGGCGCCAGGTTCGGTGCCTGAGCTGCTCCAGGGAGTTGGTGCCACCAAGTTAATAATATAGTTTTTTCCAGCCGGATGTTCGCATACGGCATTGCCATGCGTTTTTGGAAACAAAACGGTAGTTCGTTTTGAACTTCGAATGAATCGATTAAGTTTTTAATGTAGCAGTGCATGACAAATGCAGCGGTACCGTAAAGTGATACAACCTACGCACAGAGCCATAGCTTTAAAAATATTGGTTAAAACTTGGTGAAATCGCCGGCCATCATTCCATGCCTAAGGGCTGTGGAACTGCAAGCTTTCCAAAAGCGTTAGGACGGCTCGGGTCGGGTCGTGTCGGGGCGGGTTGGGCCGCTTGCCCAAACACAAAGCCAGTTATATTTCGTACAAGCTTGGCGAGCGGCCTCGCTACTAAGCATTTCGATGTCTCTGTGGGGTGTTCCCCAACTGAGTCAGAATCAGACGGGTTTCGTTCCACATGTCGGGGCGGAAGGCCGGACGCATCTGGTGTGGGGCAGATCAGCGTTCCTTTGTTGTCGCTGCCAGCCTTCCGTTCAAGTTCAGGGTGAAGCTGGCACCAATAATTCGCCGCCAGCGGTCTGCCTCCGGTGCCTGTGTGTGGCGGCCGGCGGGGAGGGGCGGGGAGGGGCGGGAAGGGGAGCGCCCGGCCGGATCAGCGGCGCCGTCGCCAGCCGGCCGGAAATAGGCGGCGGTCCGGCGGCGGCGGCGCGGCGGCAAGCTCTGATCGGCCTGATGTGCAGTGACGG